GTTCGTCTCAGGCGGCAACTCTTCGGAGCTTTCTCCTTTATAATCCGGATCTACAACCGTCTTTTTAGTATGAGCCATTGTGCCCTGCACAGACACAGAGACAGTCAGATTGGGAGATAAACAAGGGGAATCCCAATACCTAGAGGCGGCTCCCCCAGTCTTAGACTCAACCATACCAGGCGACCGGTTGGTGAGTCCATTTACTTTTAAAACCAAAGAAAGAAAAAAGAGAGAGAGACACAAACAAAAATACATGAAAGAGCTGATGTGGATAGTAACGGTACCTCAAAAGTAAGCTGAAAAGGTAAAAAGTGTTGACCAGCTGATAAAGCAAGCGGAATTCAGTGGATAGCTTGCATGGGGCACAGGCGCTTGACCGTATGTACCCTCTAGGAAAAGCAAGTATTTGAATGCCTGAACTAGCTGATGCACGAACTATAAATCTGTATGTGCCTCTAGAAATAATGGTAATTGCTCACAAACCCTTCAAGCGGTGCTGACCAACTATCTCATACGGAAATCGGATGAGTAGAGCAAAAGGAAGACGGCTGTATTAGCAATAGTAGCTGGAATCAGAGCTCTATCTTTCTTTCGAAAATTTTCTCAAAATTTACAAAGTGTGAAAATGAGAGGAGGGGGGTTTCTATTTATAAAGAAACTCAGAAGGCGAACCGTCGCCTCCTCATTTCAAATTCGAATTCTAAAAAAAAAAAAAAAAGAGAGAGGAGGCCAAACGCCTCCCTCTCAGAGCAGGTGCTGACACGTGTCAACGTTAGAGGGGTTCCAATAGGACCAATCCCCTGATGACATGTGGCACCCTGACCCATGAAAGGAGAACTGATCTCCTTTCACTATAAATAGAGGAAAGTCCTCATTTATTGCACATTCATGCACCTTCATAAATACATATACAAAAACCGAGCAATATTAATTGCAGAATCTCCCGGAATCCGAGAGACCATTTACTTTCCACATTTTTACTCACTCGGACGTATTCTAACTTGACCATCGGAGGCGAAACTCCTACCAACCGGAGTCTCCGTGTTTTTGCAGGTACAGGCGGTCGGCTACCAGTTCTAGTGTTGTAACTCTCTCGCATGACACATAAAAAAACCCCGAAACACTTTCTACTTTTAACAAGTTCATATTTACTTTTATGCAATATCTATCTACTTTAGTCAACAACTTCTCAAAATTATAAAAAATTACACAAAATTACACAAAATTATGCAAAACTACACTAAATTAAACAGAACTACTCAATATTTAAGGAAAAACTACTAAAAATCAAAGAAAAACTAGGACAAAAGCAAATTAAAAAGAAATTTAGAAAAACTTTAAACAATTAAACAAAATAAGAACTAAATTACAACAAAACTCGAACATAAGTAAATTAAAACAAAATTACACAAAATTAACTCCAAAATTGAACTTCGAATTACTCCGATTCAACTTCTGCTACTTCAAATTCAACATATTTAAGCAATAAACACAAAATAAGTAAGAAATTGCAACAAAATTAGACGAAAGATTACGAAATTCAAAGTTTCGAAGCAATACCTAATTTTTGCCAATTTTAAATAATTTTTTTTTCAAAACTGAAGAATGTAGATAATAGAACTTGAAATTGTGCTTATATAGCAAAATTAAGTAGTTGAAATTGGCGGTTATGGCGGTTTTTTGAAGTTTTGGAGCAGTTTTTCGAAGGTTTTTGATCAGTTGAAAATGGGCGGAGGAAGAAGAGAGAGAAAATGGCGCCTGAATTAATTTCTCATTTAATTAGTCTGAATTAATTTGGGTCGTTAGATTGCGCGCCTCTTCTCTTAGATCTAACGGTCCAGATTAGTTCCTAGTTCCTATTATAGGATTGGTTCTCATTATAACCTGGTCCTATATATATGTATATATATATATACATATATATATAAATATATATATATATATATATGTATATATATATATATAAATATATATATATATATACATTATATGTATATACATATATATATATATGTATATATATATGGGATCATATGAGAACCCCTCCCTTATGTGAGACTAGTTTCTTATGTGAGAACAAATCTAGACCACTGATTACATTTCATTTGAAGGTTGAGATTAATTAATGAGTAATGGCATTTTCGTAATATTATGTAACATATACCCTTAATCTTATTATTCACGTCATTTGCTTTATCTCCCCAAAAATATTCAGTAACCTTTCATATACCCATCTCTCTCTTTCTCCTCCATTGAAGCAGATTCTTAAGACTTGTTTCCTCCATTGAAGCAAAATCTGAGTTTTCTCTCTCCCATTGAAGCGACCTCTAAGCTTATTCTCCTCCATTAAAGCGATTTTTAAGGTAATCATCACATATTACAAAAAATAAAAATAAAAAAATTCCAATTGAAAATGTCAAGATTAATTGAAATTCATAAATTATAACTTATTGGATTGTCGATTAGGAAGTTAATGTTGTTAATTCCGTTTGTTATTTGTGTTGTTTACTAACATCCCCTTGTTTTCTTTAGATTTCAAGATATTTTTCTCTTCTTTTTTTTAAATCACGAATTTCAATTTCAGTAGTTTATCGTTAAATGATTTTGTTAATTTAGGGTTCTTTATAGTGTAATTCGAACTTTTATTTATAATTTCTGAGGTTATGAATGGTTATAGATATTGATTTTGTCAATTTTGGTACTTGCATTTCACTAATTTGTACTTAAATTTTAATGCACACTAAGTGTTTGACAATATTCCCCAATGAATCCTATTATTTTACCAATTTCAAATGTAGTACATATTTAATTGATGATCTTCTTATTTAATATTCCCCAAGATTGTTTTCTGTCTATGAATAAGTGATATTCTCACTTGATTCCTAATCAGGATGTTATCATTCAAAAGCATACACTCGAGCATATAATTTTCTCTTCTGACTTTTGAGTTCACCTGGATGATATTTTAGGCTAATACTTATTCATACTGCTGCTAATTTGTGAACTTTTTTTGGTGGCAGAATGTTTTTAGGAAGTGTGAGCAAGTATAATGTCATTGCTTACATGGATAAACCGCATTTGAAGACTGATAATGAGCTTCTTCACACAACAAAGGAGATAGCTCGTCGACTGGAAGAAGTATGTGATCTGTTTCCTTATAATCTTGGCTATTTTATATACAGTATATATAATTAGATAAAGTAACAAACATTGCCATAAAATACTTGTTTGTTTCATGAAATTATCAGGCCTCTTGTATCTGAAGTTATAGGTAATTGCTCGGATATTCTAGACTTCTAGAGGCCCCCTCCCCCAATCAATTTGCTGGACTTATAATAACATATATGAATTGGATGGCTTTTCTTAATCTTGTTCTACTTGTCTCAACTGAATAATTGATTAGATTAAATGGTTTTATACAATATCATTCATGCTGCTGTGACATATTCTAATTGTATTACTGTTATGGCGTACCTTCTAATTGGATTAACTAACGAGAAATGGGCAAATCACATTGTCTAAAACTGGAATTTTTGTCCAACCCGTATTCTCGCATAATGTTCTTCTCAGTCAAATGTATGTATCAATGTAAGAAAGGTACAATATGGAGGTGAGGGAGGGTCCTTGTCCTGAACACATAGTTGACGACTAGTAATATAAATTTGACCTTGAATGGCTAAAAGTTTGCTAGTTTGTTTCCTTGATAGATGAACTGTTTTGTGTGATTTTTAGGTTCAACTTAAAGAGTACACATCTGACCACTTATGCTCTACATTTCTTAATCCTGGTGTATAGACCAAGTGGCTTCTGCTCCAGTTACTTATTATTTGCTTCAGTTTTATTAAAGTTGCAATTTAAGGGACATGTGTCTATTTTGGTTTGTAAATTCAATTTCAGGTACCGTTGTTTTAGCAAAAGTAATGAATTAGTATATATGTCCTGTAACTGGCACTTTTAACCAGTGACTATCTCTTTATGAAATATAAATGTCAATGAAAGAAGATCTTATTTAGCATTTTGAGCTTCAGGCAAAAAGTACTTCAAATCATGAAAATTTTATCAGCCATATGTAAATGAGATAAATGTGTGTGAATGATATTTTGTACTAATGTACTTCGACTATCTCTCTCAACCTCTTATCATGTCAAATGAGCAATTAATTATTTCTCATTTGTCAAATGAGCAATTATTTTGTGCTCATTTGTCAAATGAGCAAAAAAATTCAATGCTCCTTTGTCAAATGAGCAAACTATTTAATGCTCATTTGACAAAGGAGCTTTGAATTTTTTTTCTCATTTGACATTTGACAAATGAGCAAAAAAATTCAATGCTCCTTTGTCAAATGAGCAAACTATTTAATGCTCATTTTTCAAATGAGCAATTAATTATTTTCTCATTTGACAAATGCGCAAAAAATATTTTTGTTCATTTGTCAAATGAGCAAAAAAATTCAATGCTCTTTTGTCAAATGAGCAAACTATTTAATGCTCATTTTTAAATGGGCAAATGATTCTTGATTATTTTGTCAAATTAATGCTCATTTGTGAGAGTGTTTGAATGTTTTAAATACGTCAGCCTACTAGCTCAGGGGTAGAGCATTGTGTAAATGCACAAAAGATGTGGGTTCGAATCCCACGTAGGTTCATTTATGTAAGTGGAGACACAAGTTTGTATGAGAGTTTAATTGTAACAAAGTTTATATAGTTATAAATTATTTCAAACCAATTTTTTGCTCATATAATTAGTACGAATTTGATTTTTTTTTTTTTAATGAATTTTGTTTATAAAGATAACCTATGTAGGAATTGAACCTACATCTCCTATGCATTTGCATAGTGCTCTACCAATTGAGCTAATAGGTTCACATATGACATGTTGCATATTTAAAATCCAACTACACTGCAAATAGGAAATCTTAGGGTTTTAGCTTTAACAAAAGTGATTGCTCATATAGTCGTACTATGTTAACTGCTATATAGGAAAGCACAGCCCTGTAATAAATTTTTTTTTTTTTTGACAAAACAGCCCTGTAATTTACAGCGTGTACAACGGCAGAAACCACGTTCCAAAACACATAAAGTTTGTAAGTCACCTCTTCCTCTCTTCACCTTCTTTGGCAAAGAAGGCTATAATAAATTAGTAAAAGTTGGACATTACTACTCTACTTGCAATGCCTATTTGCTGAACCTCATTAACATCAATTTTTATCAGCCAAGCCAGAATCATAGTTCCCTTATTGATAAAAAAAAACAACTTGTCAACTGATAAAATTTATAAACAAGCAAGAGAAATGCATGACTAATGACTATGCACTATACCGAATGCTCCAGGAAAATAAAAAAAAAACATAAATCAGCATTTATTACAACCAGAATTTCAGATGCCTATAACTTTAGAGCAAGGAACAAATGAACTTGCCGCCTACCTGTATGATACAGATTAAAGTATTTGAAGTAACTCAATAGAACAGGAAAAGGCAAGAGTCCACAAGACAATAGTTAGTTCACAAAAAATATTTAAAGAAGAGTAAAGAACATGAGAAATAATCGTGATTAACTACCACCTAATAATATTGTGCAACAAAGAAGTACTACCATAGATATAAGATTCTTTTAATAAAAAAAGAAATACAACGGGTGAAACGCATGACAAATCAGAAAATGCATGCAGGCTGAGAGCCCTTGATTGATCATCTTGCTTCACATCACCATGCTCCACAACTCTTTCTTGAAAGCCCATGACACAATGGCTGATGACTCTATACAGCACAAAGAGTTTCCAATTAGAATGAACACGTATAAAATTAGAATTATAAGTTTACACAAGACATTTGTCAGCCATCCCTCAACTATTTGAAGTTTAAACTATGAGATCTAGCACAGAATTATCATTAAACTAGCCAAGACATCACACGGCACACCAGAAGAAATATCAGACCAAGATTTAAATCACAAGCCACTATTGTTGAATGCTCTCTAAGTGATGATTAGTGTTTCTGGTAGCTAATCTACTTAATGTGAGGAGCTTCATACACAACAGCTACACATTAAGTCAATACACAAACCAACAAATTTAGACAGAAGAAAATTCGACAATTAACACAGGTTAATGGTGCGTATACCGTATCCTGAGTGACGACCCTTCCTCTTCGCCTTCATCATACGACGAGCACGAGACCTTGAATGAATCTTGGCAGGCTTCCTTATAATGAAACCATCCTTAACCAACTTTGACCTAAACAAATCAATTAAACATAAATTCCTATTCATTCATATCTTTAAAAAAAAAAAACTAATTACCAAAACAATCAACATAATATAAACTTCAATTGCATAATGAAGCCATATCAACTCCAATGAACTTTACAAAACCATTACAAGATCACAAAATCATCAAGGTAAATATAACAACATATAACTTATTCATAATACGAACTAAATCATTCAACTTGATCAATTAAATAATTTCTTCTAAAATTAAAACCGAAATTCGCAGATATATCGACATTTGCAAATTCAAGTTTTTAGAATAAACACTAATGAAATCAATCAACAAATATAATTCACAAAAAATTACAATGTTTTCATAATACTTCCTACAATTCGATCAATGATACATCAAACGATCACTATTTTCCAGAAAATCACATAAAAAAGCACTACATCAACTACCGTAAGAATTTATAGGGTTCTAATTAAGATAATCATCAGAAAAAGTAGAAAAACAATAAAATCTGACGGTCGATTGAAAATAACTAAAACAAAAAGACAACTGAAGAAAATTGAAATCAAAGAAGAGAGAAAGAAATTACGAGAGTTAGCCATGGAGATTTCATTGCCTTCATTAGGATCAAGCCAAACCTTACCACGACCACACTTGAGAATATCGGCGGCGAGCCGCTTCTGAAGCTTCAAAGACAATGGAGAGGAGAGATGCGTGAGAAAATGGAGAGGAGGAGAGAGAAAGGAGATGAGAATGGAGAGGAAAGAGAACGTGAGAGTGTAGATCTTAGAGGTTGAATTTCGTAAAATCTAACGGTTGGTATTGGTTCTCATATAAATGCTAGTTCTCACATAAAGGGTGGTTCTCACCGGATCCCGACCCTATATATATATATATATATATATATATATATATATATATATATATATATATATATATATATATTGAACCAAGATCATGTGAGAACCTAGGTCTATAATAGGAACTAGGAACTCATCTGGACCGTTGATCATGCTTAATCTAACGGCTCACATTCCACCTGCCTCATTAAGGGCATTTTTGTAATATTGCGCTTTGAATGACTACCTAGGTTTTCCTCATTTTTTTCTCTCTCTTTTTTAGATTTTCTCCCTCTTCCTCCAAGTTCTCTGAAGAGGCGATTGTTTTTCTTCGCTACTCTTCAATTTCGCTCTTCAATTTCTATGTCTTTGTTCATTAATCTCTCGCGCTAATCTGGTAAGGTATGTAAATTTCAATTTATTTTTTAATTTTCTTGAATCAGTTTAATTAATTCAAGCTCTAAGTTTGCTTTCGATTTGGTTACGATTAATTCGAGTTTGAATTTAGGGTTTGTGTTTGTTTTTTTTTTGTTTTTTTTTTGTTCTTTTTTATTCGATTAGGGTTTGTGTTTTTATTGATTTGAGTTTTTTGAAATTAGGGTTCTCGCTATATTCCAGCGACTGAAAATGATAGACATCTAAATTATTTGGTCTTTTTGAATGGTTATGCTTTTGAATTCTGGGTATAGTTGTTTGATGTCATATACTCATAATGAGAGTACGCAACTGCAACTTGTAATGAGAAACACTACATGGTGGAGTTAGGGTATAGAATAGTTGTTCTATTGATTAATGATTCTTTTTCATTTTCCATGTCTATGGTTAAATCAGTCAATTATATATTTGCTTTGTATGTAACTGATGTGTACTTGATTTTTGATATCAATACAAGGTGATTAAAGCATCTGAGATTCCCTTCGTGTAAATCTTATACTTGTAAATTTTATGCTTTACTTTTAATAAATTTTCATTAACTTTTTGAGTAACTTTTTATTACTTTAAAATTTTTCTTACTTTTGGGATTACTATAGGGAAATATTTTGAGCTATAAAACTAATGTTTGAGGCCTTTGAACAGCTTAGCTACCTGAGCAACTAAGAACTATTTAAACCCCCCTAAGTGAGTGTACATATACTTTATGAAATTGCTTAGCCGAACTATGGAGGCTAAAGGGTAAGGCGAATAGAAAGCTTCAATTTCTTGTTACATAGAGCAAAGGTATACTCTATCTTCAAACTCACCTTTGAAGGAGCAGAAGCCTTTTAGGATAAGGATTTATATTGGCCTTCTAGCTAAGTCAAATCACAGCCTTCTCCCTTATTCGATAGCTTGAATTTCTACCTAACTACCGTTAGGTAGAAATTCAGTAAGAATAGAAGCCTGCATGGTTTTTTCACTCCGATAATAAGAGGATCTGTGCCAATATTGATTCTTCAGTAAACAGATTTATCGATCGGAGTCAGACTTCATTGGAAAAGAAGCATTTCAATACTTTATTCCCTATCCCACAAATTATCCATCTCTAAAGATACCTCTAGCACAAGACACTTCTAGCTTAGATATCCGAATTCTACGTTTCAATATTCTTTTACATATCGAGTAAGTGACTCGCAACATCCTTAATTCAAACACTAAGCTAGTAAAAAACCATGATAAGAAAGACAGAATTCAACATCTCTAGGGAACCAAATTATTCTAGAATCTTTTATTAAACAACATTCGATTAAACGAAAAGAGCGGGATGATAAGGACACATAAAAGCAGAAACATCTCATTAACAATATATAATCATTAGACACATATTTAAATATTCTAGAAAGAGTCGGCAGACTCTTCTATTCTAGTCTTCTCGGTGACTGGGGGCAAGGTGGGTGGTGGCCTGCATAATTAGGGCTTGTTGCTCTTTGAGGAGGTCCCGTTTGCTGTCTTCCAGAGCGCGAATGCGGCGCTGGATTCGTAGCATAGCTACAACCACAAGCGCTGGATCGATGGGAGACAGGTGTTCCCAGAACAGAACAAGCCTTTGCTCACATTCGAGCTTCTCGGCTTCTACCAAGCGGATTTGATTCTGAATTGTTGCTAGCCTTTCTGAGGTAGGGATATCCATTTTTTTTTACTTAAAGTTTTTATTCTACCTCTCTCTTTGAAAATATAGACTGAAAAAAGCTTCTATTTATAGGCATTGGAAGCGCTTAACTCTTTCTTATTATTAGTAATAAATAATTGTTGTCTTAGTTTCATAACATATTTCAACCCTGGCTTTTCATGAATGGAACCAGATCCACTAGATTTTAGTGTGCTTAATAATTCGCTTCGTGCGGATTGGAGTTCGAAAAGCCCTGCCCCAAAAACGAATAAAATAGTCTCTTTTTTTTCTGGCGGGTACCTCCATGCGGCTTAATTTCGATCGCTCCCTCAGGAAGAGGAGGTAATAATAGAATGCACACCAGAGAGTACTCCCCTTTCTCGTCTAATAAGGCAGGTTTCCAAAGCCCCTTTCTTAAGAGATAGAGCACTCCTTACTCGACATCTCAAAGCTGACCAGTACAAAAAGCATGTGATTAGTCTTTAACCTTCTAATAAGCGACTATATACCTCGTTTACGTAACCTACTTGCGCTATTTAGCCTTGCCTACTCCGATTGAACTCGCTTCTACTTGTCTTTTTTTTTATTGGTTGATTTGTACCTGGGTACATCTGGAACTTCCCTCGCCCAATCCTCACTCGACATCTCCGTCCTTTCTTAGGTGAGCTATGTGAGACCGAAGCTAGCTCTCTTTCTTTTCTTTCCCCGAAAAGACGGAAAAGCCCCTTTCTAGCTCACTCTGTCAGTCCACTAAGACCGGTATAGAGTAAGTCGGTACAACACTAGCACTAGCAATAGCTTTTTCAGTACAATGAGTCCCCTTCTCCATGACCGCTCTTATTTGTTTTCATTTGGGCTTTCCTCATGCTTCTAATAAGCAACTACATACCTTGGAAATTTCTATGTCCCCCATCAACTCTTCCCAAGTAATTCCATTCCATTTTAGACTCGGACGTGGGCTTTGCAATTCAGTATCTTCAAAACCATTATTATCCCATGAGTCCCCCAATTTCTGCTCTTCCTGCTTGTCAATGGGCTTAGATGGATCAAAGCATTCAAGATATAGCAAGAATGCCAAGTCCAATTCATCAAGATTCAAAAAACCTTCTTCTTCAGCTGCCCAAGCAAGATCATCTTTTTCTAAATATGAGAGGATAGGGTTCAAGGGTTTCTAAGGGATGAACCGTTTGTCCTTCCCATAGAGATAGGACTTGAAAGATTGTCACATGGGCTATAAACATAGATTTTTATCGCCTAGATCTAATGGTAGTTTACTTGCTTACTTAAACAACAAGTATGGATTTCACTTGAAAGAATCCTCCTTTTAATGCTTTTCTAACTGTTCTGGTTAAGGATGGGATAAGTGATGGAACTGAACTAGCTTATTTGCGGTCTAGCCTTATAACTCACTATATATATATATATATATATATATATATATATATATATATATATATATATATATATATGGATGATAAGAAACTAGCTGCTTGAAAAGGGAAGAAAAAGTCACATGGACTACTAGTGAATAACAGATACTTTGTGTTATCCCTTGTCTATAAAGGGTACTGGCTCGAAGTTAAATGCACTCGAATGTGATGAACTTATTGATCTATCACTTTCCACTTGAAAGGATCCTTCCTCCTTACCTTTAAGTAAGCATAATGGTGTAAGGATGCTAAAGGAAAGGGGTTAGCCCAACATGAATAAGGGCTCTACTTAGTGGAAAAGCTACACCGAAGCACCTTTTTGCATAAAGAAAGATTTTTTATCACCCCTTTCAGGGAATCAGCCAAGAGGTGTCCTATAGTCTCGTTAGAACGCAAGATTGGAGCCTTCTAGAGCATCCAGAGTTTGGCACCAACCTTGTGGAAATTCTTTCTAAGGAAGACACTATTGAATAGCTTCACTTTGAACGAGATATCTTAGTTCGTATCCCGGATTCAAAAAAGTCTCGTGAAAAGGCACCTCTTTCTGAGGAGAAATGCCATAACATAAGAAGAAGGGGAGAAATCTATGTCTCTTTTGTAACACCTCTCGGACTCTATTCTCTTGCCATTTCCTCTGAGGAGAAATACGGATAGTTTGCATCAACAATAGAAGTGCTCACGCCCAACCAAAATGAATCTTCCTCCCTCCCTGTTGAGAAGAAAGGGGATCCCTTAGCGAGCAGCATACCGGACAGGAGTGATTCTATTGAATCCCACAAAGATTTGAGCTCTCTTTAAGTACAGTTAGGGGACTCCCTTTAGTTTAGTGAATAAGAAGCGCCACCTCTTTCGAGGAATGGGAGAAAGTGCTTATTAAGAAGAGTTGGAGCATATAAATCAATAACATAGATTCTTCCTCTCTTCCTTAGGCATTTAGCAGGGCTAAAGAGAGCGATCGGAGGGGAGTCCTAGCCATGATTTATCTACACACGGGTGCTCATTCTATCTATAATCATCGCATGACAACA